GGCGGAATGAAATTGACAGGATTTACTGAAACTTATGCTTAGGTGAAGCTGAGGGCAAATAAGTTCAATAGGATTTATTGGAGCTTATGCTTAGGTAAAACTAGAGGCAAATAATTTCGACGGGATTTATTGAAACTTATGCTTCGGTAAAGCTAAGGGCAAATAAGTCCAGTTGGATTACACAAGAATTGCAGACAGTTTTAAAGTGTGCCTCTTGCACCCTGCAACTGTGCACAACAGTTATACCCTTGTTTTTTTATCTTCAAAATCTCACATCAGCAAAGGCTGACTCCATCCCCAGTTATCCATTCTACCCTGTTTTTGTCCACTTCATGGAACTTATTCGCTCTCAGCTTTACCTAAGCATCATTTTCATAAATAGGGAAGACTAATGACGGGTTTTTGTGGAACAGCTTTTCCTAAGTATCAATTTCATAAAAAGGTAATTCTCAGGAGCGCACTTCCTCATCCTTTCCCTTCTTCACCGCTCCCCTCCCCCGTCAAATGTACGTTACTTAGTCAATCGGCAAAGGATCTACGCTATTTAGTCCTTACATCCACCTATTCTAGCCCCTGCTCTTCCTCGAACGGAACTCGGCACATATCACCCCCAGTTCCACCTGCCACATTCAAGCTGCCGCCGTCCACTGTAGGGTTGCCCTGCCGGCTGTCAGCAGAAAAAATTTTTTGCGGCTTGTGTATGAGACGAGCCGAGCCGAACCGAGTTTTTATAATTGCCGTTAGATGTGATAAGTATTGGCGTTTGGTGTTGTTGAGATGCGCGATGGGTAGCGTAGTTTGAATAAGCTTATTGCAGCGTATTTTGTACTGGTCAGCTTCTGTCAACTGAAATGGATGCAGAAAGGTATGTGTTTACAACGAAATTTCTCCATAGGCTTAATTCGGGTTTTCTAAAATTTTGTAAAATGATTTTTTTTTTTTTGTAAAATTAAATGATGCATATAAGTGGGGGAGCTCATTCGTCTTGAAAATGTGCCAGGGCATGGAAGAGGCTTGAAAAAACTTCTGCGAGAGCTTTGAGCACGGCTTTTTTTAGAGGCGAGGAAACTGATGGTGAGAGGATTGCTGAAGCGATGGACTATTTTTCTTCTGTTTACGATCAGCCGGGCAATAGCATCTTGGATACAAGCACGGTGTAATTGATTTCTTCTGTTTAGCAAAGAAATGTTCGGCATAACTGGATATAGTTATGCTGCTGTTTGTGGAATGTTGGGCCCTTTTCTATTTTTTAACAAATGGCCAGTTCAGATTTTGTTTGGTTTTATGTGGTTTTGCAGATGTACAGATGCAATACACACATTGTGATGACCCGTGGTACATGTTTATGTCAGTATGCTTTGTGTGTGTGTGTGTATGTGTATGTGTGTATGTGTGTATTCGTGTCCGTGTTTCTATGTGTGCATGCGTCTTCCGACTCAGCAGTCAACCAAGTTTTGTCGCTAAAATTTTGTCAGTGGGTTCCCTGGCCAAGCGTTGCCAATTTTCACACAAGTTTGATTCCAGCGTACGGTTACGTTAAAGTTTTGGCGGGAAAATTACTAATTCGGGAGCCAGAAAAGTTAGGAAGTTGAATTTTGGGGGAATGTTTTCTACGTACAAAGATTTCAAATTCTGCTCCTAGATAAGCACGGTTTTCAAATACAGAATCATAAAAGTTTGAATGGGTGTTAAAAAGTTGTTTCTTTCCTGGTAGTGGTTTGATTTCCCTTAAAAGGTTTGTGGTTTCCCAGCTCGAGGGCTCATTTGTCTGTGTGTTTCTCTTTATGAGTGAAATCGACTGCTGGTCTTAACACATTTTTTTTTCTGCAATAGTTGCGTAGGATGCATATTGTCGAGACCCTGTGTGTGTGTGTACTTCATGTGCATTTTACTGGGGGGCTTCAACTCGGGAACCAGGGAAGCTGGGAGGCTGAAATTTTAGTAGAATGTTCTCCGCGCATCTGCAACCTAAAATACTTAGATTTGGCCTTCACTTACTGCCGAATATTACATGCGGTCTCGCGAAGATTCTGACGGGGAAAATTATTATCCCGAGAACCTCGAAAGCTGGAGAGCTGAAATGTTAAGGTAGTGTCTCTTGCCTCCTACGACTCAGCAAATTTAAGCTAAGTCATCTCATGCATCTGGGTATCACGTACAGCCCAGTAAAAGTTTTGGCGGGGATAATTATCTTGGGAGCAAGAAGAACGAGGAGACAGAAAACTTCAGGAGGAATTTTCTGTTTATGCAGGGACTTAACAAACCCAAACTTTATCTTCCAGTATGATAAGGCCTCACGACGTGAAAGTTTTGGCGCTAAGGTTGCTCGGAAGCCAGGGAATTAGGAGGTCGGAATTTTGAAACAATGTTCACTGCCCAAGTATCACATTCAGCTTTTAAGTACGTTT